CTCCAAAAGTCTCAAAATTTAAAAAGTCTCACAAAATCTTTCTGTTTTGAATACCGAGTGACTTATAAAGACTCTCAAAATGTTTTAATTGAATACCCTGAGACTTTTAGAGACTTATTAAAAGTCATTAAAAGTCTCAATTGAATACAGGTAAACTTTTTAGAAGTCTTTAAAAGTTCTAATTGAATACACCAGAATTCTAAAAGTCTTAAAAAGTCTCTAAAAATTGAAATTGAATACACCCCCCTAAGAGTATGAGAGATTGTGTGTAAAATGAGAATTCTCGCCCTTATTTATAGGGGCGAGTTAGCTGTTCTACACGCGCGGCTTGGGCGAGTTCGATTGGCAGTCCTCCTGCTCGTCCGTACAACCGTGCGCCTCTACTATCTCTGGCGTCAGAAAATGCGTCGAGTATGTCAGAGAATGTCAGAGTTCGTTATCGCCCTGGACCACTCATGAAGCGCCGCGTGTCTTCTTCCCATGTGCTGGAGATTCTCTTACTTATTCTGATATTCGACCGGATCTCTAGCAAAGCTGAGCTGTCCCTGAGGTATGAGGTGGTCGAGTCCACGACCACGCCCATCTGATCGTTCGTCCTCGACCAACTCCTTGAGTCGTTGGTACTTGTTTGATATCACCAAACTAGCTCTTCCCCGTCGTCTTCCTCCTTTCCCCCATTGCGGACTCTCGGTTCGATTCAACCATGCCGCTGGTCTATTTTAGTTGGTTGTCCCAACGAACCGGTCTAGTATATAATATCCCATATCATACACGTACACAATTTTTTCATTCCTTAAATTAAGTAATTTACAATTTTAAAATAATAAGACTATTAATTATCAAGAAGACATTTTGCACTCTCTGTTATATTTGACTATGCAATTTTCATAAAACCAGTATAAATCATATCATATATATCATGCTAAATAATTTAATTGATTTATTTAAGCCAATTTAGGATTCTAATATATATAGATGTCAAATGTTTATTTTCTTAATATGGTTTATATAGAGGTACGTTGTTTTATGTTTAATAATATATAAGTCACATTTTGTTTTATTCCAATACATGGTTTTTACGTTATTCCAATCATCCAAATATAAATGTTCACCTTAATAAAATTAGCCCGTGCATCACACGAGGTACCGCACTAGTCTCAAATCCTAACAAATAAATGAGCTCTAGTAGTAGAACAATAATATCACATGCCTTTTTTTTTAATATTAATAAAAATAAAATAATAATTGCTATATAACGGACTTCCAATTTATAATATACTTTCCTTTTCTCAGAAGTTGTACATCAGCTGAACGCGGATGTCATTTTCATTTTTATTATTATTATATGGAAAAAGTAAAACGCGGATCGATTATTCAAACACTCGTACGCTATTTGGGGAAGAACCAAAATTTTTTATTCAATTCTTGCCAGTCAACTTGTGTTGTGTTGCGGTTTGGTAAGCATCTTTTTTGATCCCAATATCTATTACATGCGACGGTTCCTTCAAATTCAAAGATCATCATTGTGTGTAAAATCACATCTACTTATTGAGAAGAAAAGAAAACGTATATAAATTACCACACATAATTCCAACAGAATTGCTTAATTGTTCCTTGAAATGGTAGCGTGAGATGAGTAAATCCAGAAGCTTTATCCAAAACCTCTTCAAGCCTTTCGCACACAACTCAACGAGAGGTCAGTATTTTCTCCCTTTTCATGTTTATATGGGTGTGCCCTTTTCCTTTTTTTTTTTTTTTTTTTTTTTTT